TAGCTCCTGTCTGCAATGGGGTCCTCCCCTCCATCAGCTCCTGTCTGCAATGGGGTGATCCCCCCCATCAGCTCCTGTCTGCAATGGGGTCATCCCCCCTCAACCCCCTGCCTGCAATGGGGTGATCCCCCCCTCAATCCCCTGCCTGCAATGGGGTGATCCCCCCCTCAATCCCCTGCCTGCAATGGGATGACCCCCCCCCCATTTCAGCCCCTGCCTGCAATGGGGTGATACCCCCCTTCATCCCCTGCCCACAGTGGGGTGATCCCCCCCCTCAACTCCCTGCCTGCAATGGGGTGATCCCCCCCTCAATCCCCTGCCTGCAATGGGGTGATCTCCTGCCTGCAATGGGGTGATCCCCACCTCAATCCCCTGCCTGCAATGGGGTGATCCCCCCCTCAATCCCCTGCCTGCAATGGGGTGATCCCCCCCTCAATCCCCTGCCTGCAATGGGGTGATCTCCTGCCTGCAATGGGGGGATCCCCACCTCGATCCCCTGCCTGCAATGGGGTGATCCCCCCTTCAATCCCCTGCCTGCAATGGGGTGATCCCCCCCTCAATCCCCTGCCTGCAATGGGGTGATCCCCCCCTCAACCCCCTGCCTGCAATGGGGTGATCCCCCCCTCAACTCCCTGCCTGCAATGGGGTGATCCCCCCCTCAATCCCCTGCCTGCAGTGGGGTGATCTCCTGCCTGCAATGGGGTGATCCCCCCTTCAATCCCCTGCCTGCAATGGGGTGATCCCCCCTTCAATCCCCTGCCTGCAATGGGGTGATCCCCCCCTCAACCCCCTGCCTGCAATGGGGTGATCCCCCCTTCAATCCCCTGCCTGCAATGGGGTGATCCCGTCTCAGCCCTGTTGCCTTCACAAGCCGTGGTGACCTGGTTCAGGAACGGCACGGTGACCAACCCCAGGCCGCTCGGGCCATCAGCTCACAGCCACCAATGTGGTGGATGGCAAATGCCATTTATTGTATGTAAAACAGCATTATATACCCTGGGTTTGTGACGTCACTTCCGTCTGCCTACATCACAAACCAAATGCTATTGGCTATCAAGAGAGGGGCCCCATCTTTCCCTATAGCGCGACATCTTCCGGCCGCCAGACCCTACCTACCTACATTTCCCCTCTCCCCATGCATCACTAAATTGGCTAAATATAACAACATTTAAAATGCATGTATCGTAATCTTGGATAACATGCTAAATGTATCTTAATCTGTGTTTTACAACATTTCTTAAAACACACACCATATACTTGAATAAAAAATATAAGGCACCTTAAGCAAGAGATAACGAAGATGTAACAGAGAATAACAGGGTATAACTGGAGATGGGTAAAAATTCTAAGCAAGAGCACTCTTAAAGCAATTGCTGGCGTTCTATCAGCATGATGTTAACCTTTTTTAGACGGCTTTTGACAAACGACACCAGCTTATTCAATATACAGGGTCCAAACATCAACGCTATCACGATTGTTATAACTGGCCCTATCAGGGTAGATATTAGGGTGGCAAGCCATGGGGAATGGTTAAACCATGATGCAAACCAATTTTGTTGCGCCTCTCGTTCCCGTTTTTCTAGGCCTTCTCGTAGTTTGGCCATAGCATCCCTCACTATTCCAGTGTGGTCGGCATATAGACAACATTCTTCCCTCAGTGCGACGCATCCTCCTCCTCGTTGTAAGAACGCTAGGTCTAACCCGCTTCGATTTTGTAGCACTACCTCAGACAGTGATCTAAGTGAACTTTCTAATGCACTGATTGCTCAACTCTAGCCAGGTCCTCGTCCACTGCCATTCTCAGGGCACTAAGTGCTTTATTTTGTTGCACTAAGGATGCTACTCCTGTACCTATTCCCGCACGTCCTACGCTCATTAGAGTGGCTATTGTTGGTGCTGTAAAGGGTTCCCGTTTTGACAGATGGTGTTCCGGGGTCATTTGTGAATCATAGACAAATTTTCAGCATGGTAGAAGATTTTAGGAACTAGAGTTACTTGGACACAATATTCTGAGGAGTCATTAAATTTGTCTAACGACAAACAAGGTGTAACTCCCGTAACGGAACAAACCCACTTGGCATTGCTGGCCGGTATCAGCCACCGTGCAGGGGTTTTTAGCTTGTGTCACATTAGCACACAGTTGTTTTTTATGTTTTGGGATTTTACCCATCACATGTGCTAATGTAATCCCTTGTTTGTCTGTGTTTCCAAACACACTGGGCTGGATTCGTACCATTTTGCTCGTCTGGGGGTGTCGCTTACTCCTATAGCCTCGTAAAAGGGGGGGTTTATCCCGTAGCACAACCAACAATGCTCTGTGAGATTTGGGTGAGTTTTGTTCAGTAGTTGATAGCTAGCTTGCATCATTTTCCAAAGAGAATTTTGATCGGAAATTTTGGTGGTGTGTGCAATAACTTCAGTACTACTTCCAATACTATGTGGTAATGGTGTAGGTGTCGTTGGGTTGGGCATCGTTGGGACAGGTACTTCTGGGTGAAGAACCGGATTAGATCCTACGGGTTTAGGATCTCGTGGGATTGGTTCCTTCTTTATTAAAATGAGGCCCCCTGTATCGGTTCCTGATTCCTTATATCGCACCCCCCAAGTTTTCCCTATTATCCACCCATGGTCGAAAGGGTTCGTTACATTAATCATAAGATGCTGACAGCTCCCCAGGTCGATTCTCCCACGGGGAGCTAATACTATTCCTTCATTCCAACTTTGTTCCGGAGGGGTACATCCATAAGGCCCCCATTGTACCCTTAAAAACCTGTCTGGAGTTTCAGGGACCCAATTTGAGGCTATTGTCTCGCATCCCCAGTAGGCACAATAATATTCCCCGGGGTAATTGCAATATCCTTTTCCTGGATTCGAGCTCGGGCAGAAATAATACCCTATATGATCTAAACACGGGTCTCTAGGCACTAGTTGACAGAGGCTAGCAGTAAAGGTGGGTCCTCCTGTTGTGACTAGGCTTTGGATAACTTTTTGGTCTTCCCACCTAGACAAGGTCCACTTAAAAGGCTGATGGGGGTGGTACTCTGATACTGCTTGTCCTATAGCGACGAGCTGTAAAATGAGGATCACAAAAAGACATCGTAGCCTCCGTGTATGGGGGTTATGTGGCCGTTGTGCGGAGTCTGTCGGTGCGGAACTAGGTGTGGGCAGGATGTCTGTTGACTTGTCATCTTCTCTTGTTACCGGGGCGTACGGGTTACGAGGACGTCCGATAATCCGATTCTGTGGATAAAACCTCACAGTTTTGTTAGTTCTATTTCTGGAGGTCTGGTTTGAGGGACTTAAGCGGACACCACTGAACTTTTCCATCTTTTTTAACCGTGGCACAGCCCCTGTCTGCAATGGGGTGATTCCCCCCTCAATCCCTGCCTGCAATGGGGTGATCCCCCCCTCAATCCTCTGCCTGCAATGGGGTGATCCCCCCCTCAATCCCCTGCCTGCAATGGGGTGATCCCCCCTCAATCCCCTGCCTGCAATGGGGTGATCCCCCTCTCAATCCCCTGCCTGCAATGGGGTGATCCCCCTCTCAATCCCCTGCCTGCAATGGGATGATTCCCCCCTCAATCCCCTGCCTGCAATGGGGTGATCCCCCCCTCAATCCCCTGCCTGCAATGGGGTGATCCCCCCTCAATCCCCTGCCTGCAATGGGGTGATCCCCCCCTCAATCCCCTGCCTGCAATGGGGTGATCCCCCTCTCAATCCCCTGCCTGCAATGGGGTGATCCCCCTCTCAATCCCCTGCCTGCAATGGGATGATTCCCCCCTCAATCCCCTGCCTGCAATGGGGTGATCCCCCCTTCAATCCCCTGCCTGCAATGGGGTGATCCCCCTCTCAATCCCCTGCCCGCAATGGGGTGATTCCCCCCTCAATCCCCTGCCCGCAATGGGGTGATCCCCCCCTTAATCCCCTGCCTGCAATGGGGTGATCCCCCTCTCAATCCCCTGCCCGCAATGGGGTGATTCCCCCCTCAATCCCCTGCCCGCAATGGGGTGATCCCCCTCTCAATCCCCTGCCTGCAATGGGGTGATCCCCCCGTCAATCCCCTGCCCACACTGGGGTGCTCCCATACCCGGCGCTGGGTCAGATCCACGTGTCTCCACACCATCCGGTCCAATGCGAGCTGCCGCCACCGCCGGCAGACCCTGCGGGGAAGCGATCAGGGCCGGGCCCGAAAGCAGCCGGTACCGGTCCAAGGGTGGGTCCTACCCAGCCGCTCTCAGCCGGTCCCGGTACAAGGGGGGGCCCTACCCGGCCGCTCTCAGCCGGTCCCGGTACAAGGGGGGGGGCCCTACCCGGCCGCTCTCAGCCGGTCCCGGTACAAGGCGGGGGGCCCTACCCGGCCGCTCTCAGCCGGTCCCGGTACAACGGGGGGGGCCCTACCCGGCCGCTCTCAGCCGGTCCCGGTACAACGGGGGGGGCCCTACCCGGCCGCTCTCAGCCGGTCCCGGTACAAGGTGGGGGGGCCCTACCCGGCCGCTCTCAGCCGGTCCCACGGCGGCAGCAGCACCGAATGGGGCAGCACCGAGCCCTCCCCTGCTGCCGCCGCCGCCGCCATCTTGCCCGGTCCCCCAACACTTCCTCTTCCGGTTTGCTCCCCGGCTAACTTCCGCTTCCGGCGCTGTGGCGGAGCTCGGTGAGTGCCGGGGGGGGGCTCCGGGCCCTTCCGTGTTTAGCCCCGTTACCCCCCCCCCCCCGGTGTCCTCCCCGTTAACCCGGCCTCGTCCTCCAGGCAACCATGATCGAAGTCGTCTGCAACGACCGCTTGGGCAAGAAAGTGCGGGTGAAATGCAAGTATCCGCCGAGAACCGGGAGCGGGGGGGGCTGAGGGGGGGGGGGTTCCCGGTTCCTTCCCCCCCCCCTTTTCCCGATTCCTTCCCCCCCTTTTCCCGGTTCCTTCCCCCCTTTTCCCGGTTCCTTCCCCCACTTTTCCCCGTTCTTCCCCCCCCTTTTCCCGGTTCCTTCCCCCCTTTTCCCCGTTCTCCCCCCCCCCCCCTTTTCCCGGTTCCTTCCCCCCCCCTTTTCCCGGTTCCTTCCCCCCCCCCTTTTCCCGGTTCCTTCCCCCCCCCCTTTTCCCGGTTCCTTCCCCCCCCCTTTTCCCGGTTTCTCTCTCCCCTTTTCCCGGTTTCCCCCCCCCTTTTCCCGGTTCCTTTCCCCCCTTTTCCCGATTCCTTCCCCCCCCTTTCCGTTCCTTCCCCCCCTTTTCCCGGTTCTTCCCCCCTTTTTCCCGCTTCCTTCCCCCCTTTTTCCCGGTTCCTTCCCCCCCTTTTCCCGGTTTCTCCCCCTTCTTTTCCTGGTTCCTCCCCCCCTTTTCCCAGTTCCTTTCCCCATTTTTCCCGGTTCTTCTGCCTCCTTTTCCTCCCCCCCCCTCCCTTTCTCTCCCCCCTAGTCCGGGTTCTTCCCCCCCCCGCCTTTCCCCAGTTCCTTCCCCCTCTTTTCCTTAACGCCCCCGTTAGCACCGAGGACTCGATCCGGGACCTGAAGAAGCTGATCGCGGCGCAGACCGGCACCCGCTGGGATAAGATCGTGCTCAAGAAGTGGTGAGTGCCAGCGGGCTGGAAGCAGTCGAGGCCCGCATCGTGTCCCCCGTCCCCCCCCGGGGGGGCTCTCCCCTTCCCTGTGCTGGGGCGGTGGAGCCGGTACCAGCCCCGCTTTCCGTCCCCGCAGGTACACCATCTTCAAGGATCACGTCACGCTGGGCGACTGTATCCTGCTGCGGGCGGGTGTTTCACCCTATTAACGGGTGTATTGGGGGGGGGGGTGTTCACTGCATCCTTCCCCATCTCTTCTCCTTAACCCCATCCTCCAGATGAGATCCATGATGGCATGAACCTGGAGCTCTACTACCAGTAGCGGCTGCCGTTCCTTCCCGGTGCTCTCCACTCCGTGGGGACCCCCCCATCCCAAACCCCGTTGTCCCTCCCCGGGCCGTGTTGAGGCTCTGAACCTGCTGCAGCTGCCCTGGAGCGTTTAAGTGGTTTCTAATAAATGTGTTTCTCGGGTCTCTGGTTCTTGCGTGGCACGGGGCGGCGGCACCGGGAGCCGCTGAAACGGGGATGGTGGTGGGGGGGAGACCGACGTTTTGCTGCTTCGCTTCGCTCTCTGACATCTTTTGCCCACCCGCGGCCACCGTCCGCTCCACTGTCCAGCCCCCCCCCCCCTTTACGAGCACCAGACGGACAGGCTCTTCAACCAATGGCAGCGCGGGAAGCTTGGGCGCGGCCTTCCCTTTGGCCAATGGGAGCAGGGAACGGGACAGTTGTCCCACCCACCCTCCTCCTTCTTCCTTCCCCACCACGGGTGCGGGAGGCGCAGCCGAGGGAAGATGGCGGAGGAGGAGAAGCTGCCCGCGGGCTGGGAGAAGCGCATGAGCCGCAGCTCCGGTACGGCCAACGGCGGGGCTCGGGGTGGGGGGGCAGCGGCGGCCCGGCCTGGGCCTCACCGGCAGGGTCGCGTGGGCGGTGGGGCCCGGTTTAGGCCTCACCGGGGGTCGCGGGCCGGGTAGGCCCGGCCTAGGCCTCGCCGTGGTGTGCGGGGCTCCGGGGCCTCGGTGCTGCGTGGGGCCGGGCCGGGGTTGCTCCGCCACCGGTGGGACCGGGAGAAGGCGCTCTCTGAAGGCCTAAGGAGGAGGCTTTGCTCCCGGTGCGGCTGCGGGGGATTGGGGCCGGCGCCGTTATGGGCGAGAGGCGCCCGGTTCCAGAGCCCGGTTCTGGGGTGGGTTGGGGTGTTAAAGGGGGCCTGGGGTACCCTTTGCTTCGGTGGGAGCATCCGGAGGCTGTTGCTTGGGATTGCAAGGGGGAATTGGGGCCCTGTGGGCTTGGGTCTGCTTCAATGGAGAGCTTTGGGGGTGAGCGATGCAATGGAAGCAAAGGGGTGGAGGAAGGCTTTGCGATGGGAAAGACTGGAGCCTCTGGTGAACGATGGGAACGGAGCGTGGGGAATGGCGGAGGTGTGGAGGCCTCCCCCTGCATCGGGGGGCTGAGCTCGTGGAGGGGGGATGCGGCCGAGCACACACAGAATGCACCCTGCCGGGCCCTCGGGGGCTAAAGAGGTGCTTGGGGGGGCGGAGAAAGCTGCTTCTGGGGGTGAAAACCTGGTGCTGAGGCTTGAGGAAGCCGAGGAGGGGGCAGAAGCTTGTTCTAGGAGCAGCGAAAGCTGCTTCGGGGGGTTAGAAGCTGATTCTTGGGGCAGAGAAAGCTGCTTCTGGGGGTTAAAACCTGGTGTGGAGGCTTGAGGAAGCGGAGTGGGGGGGCAGAAGTTGGTTCTGGGGCAGGGAAAGCTGTTTTGGGGGGCCTGAAGCTGGTTCTTGGGGGCCAGAAGCTGGTTCTTGGGGCCAAGACAGCTGCTTCTGCGGGTTAGAAGCTGCTTCTTGGGGTCAGAATCTGCCTCTTGGGGGGCAGAAGCTGCTTCTTGGAGCAGAGAAAGCTGTTTCGGGGGTTAGAAACTGATTCTTGAGGCAGAGAAAACTGCGTCTTGAGGGTCCGAAGCTGCCTTTTGCGGGTCAGAGAAAGCACCTGGGGGGTCAGAGAAAGCACCTTGTTGGGGGGCAGAGAAAGCACCTTCTGGGGGTCAGAAGCTGCCTCTTGGGGGTCAGAAGCAGCTTCTTGGGGCCAGAAGATGCTTTCTGGAGCAGATAAAGCTGCCTCTTGGGGGTCCCGAAGCTGCCTCTTGGGGGTCCCGAAGCTGCCTCTTGGGGGTCCCGAAGCTGCCTCTTGGGGGTCCCGAAGCTGCCTCTTGGGGGTCCCGAAGCTGCCTCTTGGGGGTCCGAAGCTGCCTATGGGGCTCAGCAGCGGTGTGCGGATCTCCCCCGGCCCCTGAACTCAGCCCCTCTCCCCCTCTCTCTGTGTGTCCCCAGGCCGGGTCTATTACTTCAACCACATCACCAACGCCAGCCAGTGGGAGCGGCCCAGCGGCGGCGGCGGCCCCGGCAGCGGCGGCCCCGGTAGCGGCGGCGGCAGGAACGGGCCCGGCGAGCCCAGCAAGGTGCGGTGCTCCCACCTGCTGGTGAAGCACAACCAGTCCCGGCGCCCGTCCTCCTGGCGGCAGGACAAGATCACGAGGACCAAAGACGAGGCCCTGGGGCTGATCAATGGCAAGTACAAGGCTGGGGGGGGGGGGGGGGGCGAGCAGCAACTCTGCTCTCCAACGGGGGAGTGGGGCGGGGAAGGGGGTTGCAGGCTCCGGTTGCCCCCTTCAGGGTGCTGGGGAGATGCTTTCAGCCACATGCTGAGCTCTTTAGGCTGAGGAAGTTGGGGCTGTGCAGCCTGGAGGAGAGAAGCTGCGTGGAGAGCTCAGAGCAGCTTCCATGTCTGAAGGGGGCTATAGGGATGCTGGGGAGGGACTCTTCATTGGGGACTGGAGTGACAGGACAAGGGGTAACGGGTTCAAAGTGAAACAGGGGAAGTTTAGATTGGATCTAAGGAGGAAATTCTTTCCTGTGAGGGTGCTGAGGCACTGCAATGGGTTGCCCAAGAGGTTGTGAATGCTCCATCCCTGATGGTGCTCAAGGCCAGGTTGGATGAAGCCTCGGGTGCCATGGTTCGGTGTGAGGTGTCCCTGCCCATGGCAGGGGGTTGGAGCTGGATGATCTTAAGGTCCTTTCCAACCCACACTGTTCTAGGATCTCCTTTGCTGGGCGATGCAATGGCTTAAAGGCAGGTCCCAGCCCGTGTGTCTTCCCCTTTGTGGTGCATTTTGGGGGGGGGGGGGGGGGAATGGATGTTATGGCCGAGGTTGGTTTGTATTTTTCTTGTGTTGTAAGCATGTATTTTTTTTCCATTAAAAAAAAAAATAAACTGATTTCAAGCACAACCCAGATGTTCTTTAAACACTTCTTCTTTTGGTTTGATGTCACTGGACTCCTCAGGAGCAAGTTAGAGTCGTTTAAGTGCCATTGGAGCTCTGCTTGAAAGCAGGATGCTCCTAGGAAGCCATCAGCCTTGCCCAAAGCAGTGTAAATGACCCAGTCTGCCTGGGTTTCCCCCCAATACTCTGGCTTAGGAGCTGGCTTAAGGTGCCTTTTGCAGGAGGTGCTGTTCATTTTTTGCAGGGGGATTGTGGCCTCGTGAGTTGATGTTGTGTTTCCTCACCGGTGAGGTTTTGATCTTGAGGAAGTGAATTCCAAGCCCAGCTTTTCCCTTTTAGGATGAGGGATTTGGGACTGAATTAAACCTTCACCTTAACCCCCCAAGTGATGAATTGGTGATGCTGCGACTGTGCTTGCTAATGGGCCTTTCCTGGCAGCAAGGTAGGGGCATGCAGATAGATCCCACAGGCTGGGCCTGGCTTATCTCTCATGGCCCACAGGCTGGGCCTGGCTTATCTCTGGTGGCTTCAGCAGCAAGGGGAGAGGATAAGGAGGACGTTGTGGCTCTTGCCTTGGTCCTAAGCACCCCCAAAGGCAAGCACTTGCTTCGGTGCAAGCTTTGGGAGGGCAGGTTCTGTGCTGCATCACTCTTGGTGGTGACCAGTAGGTGGTATCCACTGCCCGCCTTTGGGAAGGGAAGGGAAGGGAAATTCCCTGCCAGAGAGGGTGCTTAGGGAATTGGGAACTTAGGGGATTGCTTCCTTCAGGTGAGGGTGGCTCAGAAAGGGTCAGCAGAGGTGACAAAGCTTCATGGGAAGATCTGGGCCAAAGGCAAGAGGAAAGCATCGAAATCTTGAAGCAGAGCTGCCAATTCTGTCTTTTCTCTCTCTTTTTTTCCTCCTAGAATGGGAATACCAGTGTCAAATCCCCCCAGACCCACCCCCTAACCACCTACCCCTTGTTTCTTGCCTGAGTGTCCTTAAAGCACTGAATTAAGTGGCATTTCTTGCTGATGGAGTGCATTCCGAGCATCCTCCTCCTTCCCAACCTGCTTTGCCACGCCGAGCCAGGCAGGCTTTTGGTCCCTGGTAATGTAGGTCAGTGCTGTTTCTACTCTTAGGCCTCCTTTGCACTTCAGTTTGAATTAATCTTCCCCGAGCACGGGTTCATGGTGAGGTGCAAGGTTCCAGATGAACTCTTGGCTCTGCCTTTGCTGTGGCATTCACTCCGTGCAGGATGCTGCAGCCATCCTGCTGCTTCTGGAGCCGTCCATAACCCATGTGCACGTGGTCCTCCTCCTGATGGAGCCCTCTTTTAGGGGAAAAGAGGCCTTTTCTTGTAGGGAAAAGGCTCATTCATCCCACTTCCCAGAGCCAGTTTGGGTTGGAACAACTTCAGCTTTACAGAAGCTTTGGGCTTTATCCATGGAGTTGCCAGGCAGCTTTTGCGCTCAGGCTGCTCCCTGGCAGCCCAAGGAAGTAAATGAAGGAAGGAAATGCTATTTCAGTTGAGTGCTGAAACCCTCTTTACCCCTTGGATCCTGCTGCTGGGATAAGGGGCAGGCAGGTTTGGATGCAAACGTGAACCCTCTGCTCCTTCATTTGGGTGCTTCCTTCCTTTTGCATAGGCATCACCTCTTAGAACTGTGATTCCTGACACTTCTGGGTGCAATGTGTGACAGGTACTTGCTGGGGACTGGCAGCTACAGGCAATTAAATGCATATTTATGGGGGTACAAATGTATTTTTAGGTGAAACTCTGTTTTGCCAGCAACTGGTTGGCCTCGAGCTGCTTCGTTTCATAGGAGGAACCTCCATCCTGTCCTTAAGGAGTATTTTCCTGCCTACCCCCAGCTCTCATAGGTGCTTCTTTGGGTGTCTAAAGTGCTTCTTTGGGTGTCTAAAAGTCTATAGCATTCAAAGGAGCTGGCAAAGACTCATTTCTTCATCCTTTTGCCTTCCTTTTGGGGAGAGCATCCCTCCCAGATAATAAAGCCTGCCTCTGGGATTACATCCGTGGCCCTTTTCCAGGTAGGGATCTTGCACTGCTTGCAGCTAAGGTAAAATTGGGTTGAGAATAGCTAGTTGAAGGGGGTCTTTACAGGTTGATCTAGCAAAGTGCAGGCTCTTTATACATGCAGGCCACTGGGCTTACAGGGGAGTGAGCTGCAGGAGGCACTTGGGATGGCAGGACCAGGAGATTCAATAGCTTGGAGAGGGGGAAAGCTGCTTCTCTCTGGTTTTTGCTGTTGCAGAGCATCAGTTGCTTCTCTTGGAAGGTCTCAGATGCAACCCCATGAGGCTTTGCTGGCTCTTCCTAAAGCAGGGAAAGAGGGATCTAAAGGGGGGGGTTGGGCTTCATTTTTGGCCACTTTAAGGTTTAGATTTGGGCTTTGGATTGGGATTTATGCTCCTTTTCCCGAAGGAGCTGGGGGGAGTGCATGCAGCTGCACAGGATTCAGTGTGGGCTCGAGCCTCCACGACTGGGGGTGAGGGATGGAGCAGCGTTCCTTGTGCTGTGCTCCTCTCCAGTGTAATTCCCATAATGAGGAACTCCACGAGCACCTTATCAAGCTGTTGGCTGGAAAATGTGGTGCACCCCCAAGGGTTCCTTGTTCCAAGCTAGCCCAGGGGTGGCTCCAGTGGGCCAGATTGGGAGCAGGGAGGCAGGGCTCTGGTGACAGATGGTTCTTCACTGCCCTTTCAAAGAGCTGTCCTGACAGTTCACTCCTTGGGGGTTCTTTGTGCTTGGTCTCCTATGGAGGTGAGCTCTGAAATCCAGAGCTCATCTCGTCCCCAGCCCCATCAGGAATGGAATTGTTAGGGTTGGAAAGGACCTTAAGATCATCCAGTTCCAACCCCCCTGCCATGGGCAGGGTCACCTCACACTAAACCATGGCACCCAAGGCTCTGTCTTGAACACCACCAGGGATGGAGCATTCACAATCTCCTTGGGCAACCCATTCCAGTGCCTCAGCACCCTCACAGGAAAGAATTTTCTCCTTAGATCCAATCTAAACTCCCCTGTTTCAGTTTGAACCCGTTACCCCTTGTCCTGTCACTGCAGTCCCTAATGAAGAGTCCCTCCCCAGCATCCCTATAGGCCCCCTTCAGACACTGGAAGCTGCTCTGAGGTCTCTGTGCAGCTTCTCTTCTCCAGGCTGAGCAAATCCCATGCTTCAGGGCCAGCAGCAGGCAGGACCAGCTGCTTGCTTTAATAGGATCTGGGAATGATGCAAAAGAAGGGAATGTGCTTGGAAAGCAAAGGGGAGGCGAGTGCTTTTGGGGGGTTTGGGAATGCTTCGTTGTGGCTCTGCCTTGGTTTAGGAGGTCGGGAAGCTCTGCCCCATGGATTGCCACGATGCTCTGGGCCCTTCTTGCAGTGGGATGGAGAGCTCCAAGGGTGGGTGGTGGGGGGGGAGGTTTGGGCTGGTTTTTCTCCTTGAATCCCTGAACGATTCCCTCTTTTCCCAGGCTACATCCAGAAGATAAAATCGGGAGAAGAGGATTTCGAGTCTCTCGCTTCCCAGTTCAGCGACTGCAGCTCGGCCAAAGCAGGAGGAGACCTGGGGGTGTTTGGGAGAGGTAGGAATGGGAATGTCCCGGTGGGATCACAGGCTCCGTGCCTGTCTGCTTGGCAGGGGGTGGGTTGAATACAAGTGGGAAATGGGATTTCTGTGCTAAGGCAGCGTGCCGAGCAGGAGTTGCAGCTGGATGCCTGGAAGTTAAACCTATTAGGAATGCAAGCAGAGGATTATCCTCGGCAGGGAGGCGATGTTGTGTGAGCACCCGTCACCAAAGGGCTTCCCCCCCCCAAAGGGATTCTCCAGCTGCACTCAGTGGAAAGCCACTGCCTAATGAGCCATGAAGAAGGAAGCAGGGACTGAGTTGCTGAGGGATGCTTTGGCATCCTCCTCTTCGATGAGACAACAGCTCCCGTGCACCAGCACAGGGAGGGAGCAAGAAGCCAAACCTTGGGGCTGCTTGGCCAGTTAAGGGGATGTGCCCGGGTGGGAGGAATCAGCTTTGGGCTGGGGAAGTGCGACAGGGCCTCTCGTTTTGCTTCATCTTCCCCCTGCTCTCTGCGTTTGCACTAGGAGGAAAGGAAAGCCCTGCCATCATGAGGACAGCTGCAGCGTTCAAAGAACACCCCCAAAAAGCTGTTTAGAGCCAGGGTGCCCATGCATGTGTCATGAGAAGAGGGCGAGGAAAGGCTCTTGCCAAAGGAGAGAAGGTGACAGAACTCATAGGGACTTGCAGCAACCCCACAGGAAGAGCCACATCCCTGGAGGTGTTCAAGGTCGGATGGGGCTTGGAGCAAGCTGGGCTAGTGGAAGGTGTCCCTGTCCGTGGCAGGGGGTTGGAACTGGAGGAGCTTTAAGGTCCCTTCAACCCAAACCATTTTAGGATCCCATGGAACTGGGTCTTGGGTGGGTTTCCCCCAGCAAAACCACTCTTTCTCATCACTGTTCCCTTTAGGGTGCCATTCTGCAGCAGTCGCTTCCTCCACCACATCCCTTCACAGCGGAGTAACCGGTGTTGTGTTATGGCTCTGTATGGAGCAAAGCACCAAGGCCAGGGTGCTGTGTCTGCAGGGTTGGGCTCAGTGGCACCTCAGCTCTTTGTGCTCTTTAGAGATGGACCCAAAGAGGGTTTTTAGTGGTGCTGCTTTAACGCCTGCACCAAAACAGGAACGTTCCAAGAGCCACGTTCCACTAGATGGCATTGGAACCACGTGTGGTGGCCCAAGCCTGGCCCTGGCATTCCATCCCCCTCCCTGCACCCTGCTTCCTTCACTCAAGTGGGCTGCAGATGTAATGGGTTAGCACGTGGAGCACTGGTTCCTGCAGAGGTGAAGTTGTTAAACCCTTTCCATTTGTCTTCTTGAAGCCCTTCCTATTAAGTGAGCTCGAGGAGGAGCGTGGCCATGGAGCAGGGAGGCTCCTGCCTCAGCTGAAGTCAAGATTACAGCTCCTAGTGGAAAAGAACCCCCAAAGGCAGGTGCCAGTGACTGATGCTGGCTTTGTAACTGCAGCCTGGCAGCCTCTCCTAAGCACTGCAATAGGAGAAGGGCAATGCTGGGGAGCCACGTGCATCGAGTCAGTTTGGTAACAAACCACTATGGAAGGGGGAAAACACCCTGAAAGGGAGGAATAGAGCATCCTCTGTCTGCCTTGCTAGAGAAAGGGGATGTGGCTGGATGGAGGAAGTTAAACATCACTTCTGGAGGTGCTGCTGGGATAGATGTGGGGGGCTTGGAAAAGGTTGGGAAGCTTTAGTTCCTAAAGGGGCTGCAAGAAACCTGGAGAGGGGCTTTAGACAAGGGCCTGTAGGGACAGGACAAGGGGGAATGGCTTTAACCTGCCAGAGGGGAGACTGAGATGAGCTCTTAGGCAGAAGCTCTTCCCCATGAGGGTGCTGGGACACTGGGATGGGTTGAATGGAGAAGGTTTGGATGCCCCATCCCTGGCAGTGTTCAAGGACGGGGCTTGGAGCAAGCTGCTCCAGTGGAAGGTATCCTTGCCCATGGCAGGGGGTTGGAACGGGGTGAGCTTGAGGGTCCCTTCCCACCTCAAGCATTCTGGGATTCTCCCCACTGCCCCCTGAATCTGAGCATCTCTGGCTTCCCTGAAGCTGCTGAAACTCAGTGACCTGGGAGACAGGAGCCTTAAACCCAGTTCTTATCTAGGTCAGGCTGGTTGGTGTCTCTGTGTGCCTTGTGAGTTATTGAGTGCAGCCAGTAAGGCACACCAGAGCCTTTCCCCCCCCCCATAACCAGTACCTGGAGGACACAGGAGACTGGAACCTCCTCTTGTTGCCCGTGAGGCTGCAGCACAGCTCCTGAGCAGCCTTTTGGGTCCGCAGCTCTGAGCATCCCCCCTTTGCTGCAGGGATGCCTGCAGAGCCCCGTGGGTTTGAAGCCTCTTTGGGGAGCAGCCACAAGCAAACACCAGGTTGTTCAGCACTGACTTGGTTCTTTGGGAGCTGGCTCTGTTCTGAGGCTTGCTGCCCTGCTCTTCGCTGAGCTTTGTGGTGTCTGCTCCCCTCAGGTCAGATGCAGAAGCCTTTTGAAGACGCCTCCTTTGCGCTGCGGGCCGGCGAGATGAGCGGCCCCGTGTTCACAGAGTCAGGGATCCACATCATCCTGCGCACGGAGTGAAGTGCCTTGGGCCCGGAGGCAGGCCAAGGGCAAGGGGAAGGAGGGGGGGGCAAAACCCCACCGAGGGCATCACCGCCTCCAACCCTGCGCTCTCTCCCAAAGGAACTTCATCTCCACTTCAACGAATAACCAAGCTCATTTCATATCTCGGTCTCGTCTGTGGCACCGGACACGGTGGGTTTCCCCTGCATGGTTTAGCCAAGGCTGAGAACACCAGCAGAATCAAGACAGCAGCATCTTTCCGAAGCAGAACGTTAGAGCCAGCGTTCCTGGCGTGCCACAGCTGCTTGAGGTCCCCCCTGCCGTGGCTCCCGACGCCGAGGAGGTGTCCGTGCTAACGGCATCCCGCATCCGCGCCGATGCCGACTCCTGACCGGTGGTGCTGCGACGGAAGGAGCTCCCCATCCAACCCTCTCTCTGCACGTGTGGGCCAGCTCCTTTGAACCCCGAGGATGGGGATTTGCTGGGCAGCCCCGCTCGCTTGGGTTTGTACAACTGATTGACTAAAGCCATCTGTAAATTGAGTGCGAGATCTCCCCCCCTGCCCTTAGCATGGGGACGCCCGTCCCTCGGTGGTGGTCCCTCCGGCCCATCGCGCCGTGGCACCGGCTCTTCTCCCCTTCTCCTGCCATTGCTTTGACTCTCAAAACTTGAAGCTGCCTTTTGGTTCTGAACGGCAAACGAGAGGCTCAAAGGCCAGTGGTTGCCACGGCAGGAGGCTCCGTAGCCAGCCCGAGCTGAGGAGCGCTCCATCGGCTGCTGCGCGCTTCCCCTTTCGGCGCCGTGGTGTGGATTTGCTGTTGTAGCTTGGAGGCTGTTCTCCTTTCCCCTCGAGCTCCTCTCCATCCACGTGTGGTTTGAACGCTGTGAAGTCGTCCTTTATCCACTTTCCCCATTGCATCGCTTCTGGTTCGCGCCATCAACGCGGAGACATGGAATGAAATCAAATCCCAGCTTCGGTCCAGTGCAAACCAGCTGTATAGTCCCAGTTCTCTTCAGCAGCGAATAAAGCCCTCTCCAATTAACCGTGTGAAGAGCTCTGGTATTGATTATTTCTTCCCCCCTTCGCCTGCAGAGGTCTTGTTGCTTCTATTAGAGCAAGCCAGAACCTCTGCAGTGTGCCCTCGCTTTGCCCTTGCTGTCTGGGGTTGAGGGGGTTTAATCTTACAGCAGGGATGAAAGCTTTAATGTTCTCTGTTCCCTTCTGGTGTTGGGCTCTGTTTGCATCCAGCGCTGGGGGGAACAGCACCCAGAGGGATGTGGAGCTGCTGGAACGAGGCCATGGAGATGCAGCGAGGGCTGGAGCATCCCTGCTCTGGAGCCAGGCTGAGAGAGCTGGGCTGGGGCAGCCTGGAGAAGAGAAGGGTCCTGAAGGGGAGACCTGAGAGCAGCTCCAGTGCCTGAAGGGGCTGCAGGAAACCTGGAGAGGGGCTTGGGATGAGGGATGGAGGGACAGGATAAGGGGAATGGCTTTAACCTGCCAGAGGGGAGGTGGAGATGGGATGTTAGGCTCTTCCCTGTGAGGGTGGTGGGACACTGGCATGGGTTGAAGGGGGACGCAGTGGCAGCCCCTCTGTCATCTCTGATGCGTGGCATCTGTGATGCCAGAACCTGACTTGGGTGTTTCACCATGGCCTGGAGCCAGGTTCCTTCCCTGTGCTCTGGGGAATCCCGGAGCAGCACGACCCCATTCCCGCAGGAAGCCCTGGCTCTGGACTCAAGCACGTGTCAAGCCTTGGACTCCATCACTGGGGCGGTGACACTGATGCTGACTGCCTCTGACCGTATCCTCTTGGAAGCCTTCGCTTCTCCAGAAGGATCATTGAAGGGATTGCTCCTGGTTCCTCTCCAGAGCCTGAGGAAGAGGCTGTTGCATCCCTGGGGATCAGGAGCTGGTCGTGGACCGCATGGAGGAGCTGGAGTTGTGTGGTTGAATTTACAGCCTCAGGGTCTCCATGAACCAAAGCAGTGGGACCAGGTCAGGACCCCTGCGTCCCATCCGTGCCTCATGAGCACTGTGGGCTCTCTTTCCCTTCACTCCCAACCCCTTGCCCATGGATGTGCTCTGGGGGTCTCCGCTGGGAATGCCGTTTTTAGGGGAGGGGGCTCCATCTCATCCCCGTTACTGCATCCCTTGCTCCTTCAGCTCCTTCTCCCCATCCCATTTGTACATCCCCGTCTTGGCCTCCGCCTCTCCTCATGTCACTTCAATTCCACGAGCATCCCTGCGAAGTTTCCCAGCTGATCCCTCCTTTTCCACTGCCTTCTCCCTTTCTTTTGGCATCAAACCCTGGTATCACCCTGAGAGTGCAGAAGGGTTTGGGGGGGGGAGCTCGGACACGTTCTGAGGCGCTTTCCAATGGGATCGACACCCCCCCCATCCATGCTTTGCCATGAGCTGGGGCCGTCCCCGCTGCCTGTTGTTAATGGAGCGATGTCCTCAGGAAGATGCTCTTGCTCGCTGCTCTGAGGATGCTCTTGCGCCTCTAGATGTAGCTCTTGAGCTGTGGTACCCAGCGGAGCCGCCGCATCTCCCAGCCCCCCCCCCCCCCAAAAATGCTCCCTGCAGGGCCATTTTGTGCCTCTGCCTCTCTCGCAGCGGGGCATCTGCCCAGGGTCCGATCCTTGTGCAAACACAGCCTTAATCTGAGCATCACCCGCATCCCGTTTGATGCGGGTCCCCCCCCCCCGGCCCTCCTTCTCCTGGCGTTTCCTTCCCGCTCGGCTTCCAAGGACGAGGCTGGAGCCTTTAGCTCGGCTCTAAGGAGCTTTTCTGCTCGTTACACCGAGGCATTCCCGGCTTAAGGAAGAGGCAGCATTCCCTGCCTTGGCCTGGCTGGAGAGGGGCTGGGCTGCTGCAGCCGCGCAGTGCGGGGCTGAGATTCGCCTGGAGGCTTTAGGGATGCTCTGTGAGAGCTCCTGCCTTCTGTTTCCCACTTGCCCCCCAGATTTCCCGTTCCCCCCCCCATTTCCCACTTTTCTCCCAAAACTTCCCACTTTTCTCCCTAATTTTTCCTTCCCCCCCCAAATTTCCCACTTTTCTCCCCCAGTTTCCCACTTTTCTCCCAAAACTTCCCACTTTTCTCCCTAATTTTTCCTTCCCCCCAAATTTCCCACTTTTCTCCCCCAATTTCCCACTTTTCTCCCTAATTTTTCCTTCCCCCCCAAATTTCCCACTTTTCTCCCCCAATTTCCCACTTTTCTCCCAAAACTTCCCACTTTTCTCCCTAATTTTTCCTTCCCCCCAAATTTCCCACTTTTCTCCCCCAATTTCCTACTTTTCTCCCTAATTTTTCCTTTCCCCCCAATTTCCCACTTTTCTCCCCCAATTTCCCACTTTTCTCCCTAATTTTTCCTTTCCCCCCAAATTCCCCACTTTCTCCCATAGATCCTAATGTAGGGGTGCAGGAACCCCATAGATCCTAAAGTGGGGTTGCAGGACCCCCGGGACCCCCAATTTGGGGGTGAAGGAACCCCATAGATCCTAATCTAGGGGTGCAGGACCCCCATAGATCCTAATGGAGGGGGGCAGGACCCTATAGATCCTAATGGAGGGGTGCAGGATCCCCATAGGACCCTAATGGAGGGGTGCAGGACCCCGAAGAGCCCCGTTTTGGGGTTGCAGGACCCCCATAGATCCTCATGTAGGGGTGCAGGACCCCGGAGAGCCTCGGTTTGGGGGTGCAGGACCCCCATAGATCCTAATGTGCCACCAGCCTCCTAGGGAAGAACTTCCTTATCCCCAGCCCACACCTCCCCTGTTTCAGTTTAAACCCATCACCCCTTGCCCTATGGCTCCGGTCCCTCCCATGCTCCCTATGGAGCAGATCCCGGAGTCCCAAGCATCCCAAGCGGATGCTGGGCCCAGGCACCAGCTGGGCTCTGCTGCTCCCTGGCCCTGCTGGGACCTGCTCCAAATTCCCAGCTGGAAAAGAGCCAGCCCGGGGCAGGCAAAGCAGCAGCAGGGCTCAGCCCTGGGATGCAGGTACCCAGCCAAGGAGCTGCTCTTCCCCTCTGCTGCATGGGAAGAGATGGGGAAGCTTCCAGCTTCCAGCCCTTTTTGTTCCAGGTGGGATGCTGCCTTCTTTTCCCCTTTGGAATGGGTAAGGCCCGTTTGCTCTGCACGTTCCAGATGATGGGAGCTGCGGAGAGCCGGCGCCTTATCCCTGTGCCAAGGCTTTCAGCTGGCCCATTCAGTCGTCAGACAGCTCCAAATCCATTGGGAGAACACATTGGGAAGGATGTTTGTGGGGTTTTATAGTGGGAGGGAGGGTGGGGATGGCTCCAGCCTAGTGTGAAACCATGGGATCTTGTTATAGGGTTGGGTTGGAAGGGACCCTTCTCCCCCCCTTCCTTACCAAGCAGGGCTTGGATAAAGGGATGGATGAGGAGCAGCTTTCCCAAGGCTGGAAAAGGGACCAGAAGGATGCTGTTCCCACCCCGGCACAGCCTGGCAGGGCGCTGCCTTCACCTGCAGCATCCGGCTCCGGTCCTTGCCCTCCCTGATGCTCAGCTGCATCCCAGGGCTCCAGGGTTTCCATGACAACTCCCCGAGCATCCCTGCGGCTGCGGCGGCTGCTGCTGTGGAGAGCTGAGGGGACCTGCAGGGACCTGTGTGCACTTGGGGGGGGCTCATCAGCTTTGGGGGGTATCTAGATGTATATACGTACACATATATAACACATAGATGTGTATATATATCATAGATGTGTGTCTATATACACGCATATACACATCTCTTTATTACATAGGCTCCTGGAATGGTTTGGGTTGGAAGGGACCTTAAAACCCATCCAGTTCCAATCCCATTCCACAGGCAGGGACACCTTCCCCTAGCCCAGGTTGCTCCAAGCTGGCCTTGGGATAAATGGAATTCCATGGACTCCATGCCCATAAGAAGAGATTCTGTGCAGCTCCAGCAAGGGGAGCAGGGGGATTTGCTTGCAGCCCTTGGGCATCAGGAGGATGGGATGCTCGAGGGGATCCGTGCCTTAGAGCAGCTCCAGTGCCTAAAGGGGCTACAAGAGACTTGGAGAGGGGCTTTGGACAAGGGATGCAGGGACAGGACAATGGGAATGGCTTTAACCTGCCCGAGGGGAGATGGGATCTTCCCTGTGAGGGTGCTGGGACACTGGGATGGGTT